GATATATTTCATAGTTTGTAAACACTTCATAAACTTTGATTTAGAATATTCTGCAAAGCGACCCTCGCAGCCTTCCTCAGTAATTAGGAATGTGGGAGGTTCCAGCCATTTCTTTTTTTTTTAAGTTGACAATTTTTTATTAAAGTTGCATACATGAGATACAAAACTTATGACATCAGTTGAGGTATCAAGATTGATTGACACCAGAAACCACATTACATATAAGGTTCCGCTTTCATTTGTGGGATTGTTTCATTATAAAGTGGGATTTTCCCATATTTCCATCCAACATCCCTTCGTGGCAAGATCTTCATTAATTGTAGCTTGTATTATTTCATTCTGGCTTACCCTATCTATAGAGCTCTATGTCTAACAGATACCCTTCCAACTTGATGCATCTGCACTTCATTTAACATCTATATAACATAGAAAAGATAAAGCGATGAAAGAAGAAAAAAAAAATGTGTGGATGAACTTCTTCCAGGATAGCTACCTGCATGAACAACTTATACCAGGACTCCTCCTTACCCCTGGACCTGTTTCCCCCCGAACCCCCTCCACCTGTCTACCCCCTCCTCTCAGTCCGTGCTCTCCTCATAGGCATTCCACGCTCTCCACACCCCTTTATGGGCTTCAATTGTATTATTTAGCCGTGCTGTTAGATATTCCATTACCTGTACATCTTTGATTCCGGCAAAAAGATCAGGTTTCGATGGGGGGAGTTTTCGTTTCCATTGTAGTGGAATAAGACAGCGGGCTGCCATGAGGATATGCGATGCCAATTTCCTATTAGCCCTTGAGAGGCCAGGGAAGGGTAGTCTTAGCAAGTAATGTATGGGGTGACAGGAGAGTGTTTGTCCAACTAGCCGTTCTAAGATGTGTTCGGCCTCTCCCCAATGGGGTTGTATTCCCGGGCAGGTCCAGAATATGTGGAACAGGGTGCCTCTAGTACCGTCACATCTCCAGCAGTTTGACGCCAATCCAGGCCCACTAGGTGAATACAAGCAAAGGTGCTCAAAGCACGTTTTTGTAAGTTCCTCCTTCCCCAAGGTGAAAATCCAATGTTGTAGCTGTAAAAATCTATACAATTCCGATTCGGGAACATGTTTATGGGCCCTAATATAGGTCCAAGTGGGGATGTCAGAGAATCCTAAAAATTCATATACTTTACCCATTATCGTTCCACCATTTAAAAGCACCCGGATCAGTATATCCTAGTAGCAATAAAGGCTGTGAGAGAAAGGGGAGAATAAGGTAGATAAGGTGAAATAAACCCTGCAGAATATTTGGGTCCCACACTGTCAGGGCATGTTTCATAAGGGGACCTAAAGTGGACAGTTTGTCTCGGGGAGGGAGCCAAGGAAGGGCCTGGATTCTGAGAGAGGAACATGCAGGTATTTCTAATAATATCCACAGATGACTATTGGTCATGCAATGGACAGTGATCAGGGGTAGAAGCTAACATGCCTGATAATAAAGTGGCACATTTGGAAGTCCTATCCCACCTTCTTTTTTGTGTTTTTATAAAGAGAAAACCAGGAAACTCTAGGGTTCAGTGGGTGCCAGATATATTTCAAAATGTCCCTCTGTAGGGATCACAAAGCAAACAATGACACAGCCACAGGTAAGGTCCTGAAGTAATATAATAAATTAGGAAGTAGGGTAATTTTAATAGCAGCCACTCTGACAAATCATGTTATATTGTAAAGCACTGTGCAAACTATTGGCGCTATATAAATCCTGTATAATAATAATAACGTATGATGCTTCCAATTGGCCAGTAAGGTTTTAAGGTGTCTGAATTGTGGAATATAATTGGCGGTATACAAGGAGTTATAGGAGGAGGTTATATTTACCCCAAGGTAACGTATAGATGTCTTTGCCCAGGTAAAGGCACAATTTTCACGAAGCTGAGATCAGGCTCAGAGTCCAGTAGCTGAAACAGCAGGCAAATTCGTGGTATTATTATTATACAGGATTTATATAGCGCCAATAGTTTGCACAGCGCTTTACAATATAAGGAAGACATTACAGTCACAATACAATTTTTAAGACAAGATGGTAAGGAGGGCCCTGCCCGTGAGGGCTTACAATCTAAAAGGTATAACTGCTTGTTCACAAGCAGACGGTAATAGTATAGGAACAGGCAGAAGCATAGTTGGTGAACATGCCGGGGTCAGTAGCCAAAGGTATCGGGTATGAAGCAGAAGACGATGAGAGTAGTCGGTGAATCAGCAGCCAAAGGTCGATACACGGATAGCAGTATGAGCAGATTGTATCATAGAGGGAGTAGGAAGCAAGATATTGGCAGAAGCTCAATAATCTGGCAAACAGGAAGTGCAGAGGCATGGCTTAAATAGGAAGTTCAAGGGAGGAGCAAGGAGTTCAGCAGAAACTAGGTTGAACTAAGGATTACACAGGACATCAGGCAAGGAGCTATCCAAGGTTATAAGGTGGCTCAGCAGGTAGAACCACTGCCGGCTACAGCAGAGGCCCTGGGTTCAGATCCGGTTTACTGACATCCTGGGATATCTGGGGGAAGGTAAGATCATTAAATAAAGCATCTGCTTTAGTTCTACCTGATAGACGGGACCAGTCCTTGCAGGTGGGCTGTGACTGTGGATTGTAGATTTTCTATAGATTCTGGCTGCCCCCAATATGTAAGTTGCCACGGCGGCCCCTGTCTTAAAGGTAGTCGACCTTGTCCATGACAGTTGCTAGGTCAGTACACATAGTATCCACCTCACGTTCATGGGAATCAACTATTGTGATCACATCATCCATTTTCCTTTCAAGCAGATCTGTACGGTTGCCAATGTCTCTGATTTCCGTAGTCAAGGCTGCAGGTAATTTCTCTGTGGCTATCGTCAGTTCAGTTTGTAACATTGATCTGAACTTGTCTAAAAGGATTGCATCTCTAATATTTTCACAAGTCTCACCTTGGGTTAACGGGAGGCTGTCCAGAGAGGAGGAATCGCGGGCTTCTGAGAGAAACGGCGGAGAAGCGGGAAGCTCCGCAGCGTCTCTTGCTGCCGCCATCTTGGGACCCTTCCCCTTTGAAGGGGTCTTTGCCGCGTCCTTCTACCCCTTGCCGCCTGCCATGTCGTTCCTGTATAGTCACTGAGTCACCCTGAAGGTGTATAGTCACCCTGAAGGAGAATAGAAGTCAAGAGGACGGTGAGTAGTCAAATTGATTGCTAATGATGGCTCTCCGGGGACTGTGTTTGGCAGAGCTCCCTCAGACTGTTGCCATCTTACTCGGCAGCTCGTTTAAACATTTTTACTGACCCTTTTTTTCTTTTCTCCAGATACATTTTTTTTTTTTTTTTTTATCAAGACTTCAGTATACATTAGTGCTGCAACTAACGATTATTTTCATAATCGATTAGTTGGCCGATTTTTTATTTTTTTGATCGGATACAAAAATGTATTTTAAATTTTTAATTAAATATGAATTAGTTATTATTAGGGTTGCACAGATACCAAGTACAGTACTCGGTACAAGTACTAGTACAAGTACAGATACTTTTGAGCTCGAAGACTAGACTAGAGAAAAGTTAAAAAATTAGGAGTCAGCATTCATTTGTAAGGAGCACACGGAGCTCCTGGGATTTGTACATCTCTGTTTTAATGTACGATTTTGTTTTTATAAATTTAAATAAAGGGATGCACAGATACCAGTTTTGCGAGTAAGAGTACTGGTACTTGCCGAGTACTTACAAGTACGAGTACTGATACATTTTTGTTGTTTTTCTAAAACAATACAGACTAATAATTTCAGGACAGTGGTGGAGTGCCAGAGCCAGGTCCCAGCTGCAACCCTGGTAGTTCTCATGAAAATGCCAAGTATCTGCACTGGTACTCGAAAAGTATCTGTGCATCCTTAGTTATTATTAATAAATATTACTTATTGAACTATTTATTGAACTATTTAATTATTAAATATTATTTAATTATTTAATGGACATATATTCTCTCTACATAGCTCTCATCCCCTGGCATATGTCACAGAAAGAACTTGTGCAGAAAGGAAAATATTACAAGTAGACTTCTCTCCTGGACTCCTCTCACCAGACACTTTTTCTGGGGAAATCTGATTGGCTGCACGCATGAATCAGGGGATTCATACGTGTGAGCTGATTGGCTAGAGATATTGTTAGACACACTGCAGACACATGCAAAGCTCAGTGTGCAGTGTGACATGGCTTCACAGGCTTCCGAGGCGTTTCACACCATCTCCAGTGCGTTCCGGCACGGTTAATGGCCGGAACACACTGCATCGCGTAGTGGAATCCTCCTTGCATTCTGGGGCAGGAGGGGGCTTGCAGTTAAGATCATGGCACCGCAGACACACACCCCACCTGCGATGTGATCACCCGCACCAGATTGCGTGACACAGAAATACCAGCATTCCGGTCTGGTGCTATAGCAAAAAATAGTGAATGGCACCGCCACACCCCCTCCTGCCCCAGAATGCAGGAAGGCTTCCACTATGCGATCCAGTGCGTTCCGGCCAAGAACCGTGCTGGAACGCACTGGAGATGGTGTGAATTGGCCCTAAATGTGTTTTACTGCCTGGCCTGCATGCCCCCCTCACCCCATCTTTGTGCCCTCAGCCGCTGCACCGTCCCTCCCAACCCCGCTTAGTTGTTATGCCACTGACTCCACTCACTGCATACACACAAGGTGCACATGCAACACATCATATGCACACAGTGCACTTACAACACATAATATGCACACATTACGCATACAACACATAATGCCCACACGTTACAAATACAACACATAATATGCACACAGCACACATACAACACATTATATACACACAGCACATAGTACAGACTACTTACACTGGCTGCACATCGCTATTCAGCCCATCCACAGTCCACTATAAGCAGCCCGGAGAGGAGGAGAAGGCTAAGACATGTGGGAGGCCGCAGGTCCCAAACCGGAATAGTCCCCCAATGGTCAGTCTGTACTCACCAGGACTCTGGGTGATGCCAGGACGGCCCTCTTCATCCCCCTCGGTCCACTACGATCATCCAGAAGAGAAGGAGGCCGCAGGTCCTCGGGCAGTGCCCGAACAGTTAGTAAGTCAGTGCTCCCAAGCATGTGAGTGGACTGTTACAGGGCCTGCCTTGAATGGGAAATTTGGGTACTGAGCTTTGCTTGTGGTGCCTTCTAGACTTTTGTGTACTGTTAGTAAGCCACAGAGTGTTTTCTAGGCACAGAGCCATGGCACAACCCCTGGTGTTGAAGACAGGTCAATCACCAGCACACCGGAGAGAAGAGTGCATTCTCCCTTCATGTCTCCGAAATCATCGATGTTTCGGGATCACGTAGGGCCTCTTCATCAGGATGACACTGTGCCTGTGCCTGTCACTGCTGCTCCTAATTGCAAGAGAGAAGCAGTTCAACCTCTGTTAGTCCCTTTATGCCACCTACATTGACCTGGTTACCTCTGGCCTTTTCAACCTCTTCTTTTCCAGCAGTCGGTTTTTAAGTATTCCAGGTTTTATTTTGTATTACAGCTACGTTGTCCCTGTTTGCGGTGTAACATGTCTGATCCCAAACACAAGAGGAGCAGTCCAGCTGAGTCAGGTGCCTCTGGCTCACAAACCACTAACAGAATTTATTGGTCAAATTGTAATTGCTGTCTCTGACCTCTGAGGACAGGCATACCTCTGCATTTTTCCTGCAGAACCCTTATGTAGCATGCCTGCAGCCTTGGAGGCATCTAAACCTTTGGATGAGGAATCTCGCAAATCCTCATAACTGCCAGGATGAGAGAGGATTTTGACTCTTATTGATGCGGGTCCAGCCTAAAGATAGAAGAGCAGCATGTAACTTCCACCAGTGCTTCGAACAGTCTATGGTCCCTAAGAGGGCTGAAGGTTACTAAAAATTGTTCCCATGTGCACACTATTACCATACTTCCTGTCACTGACTGGGAAACTCCTAATAAACTAGTCACACCTCCTAAACATTTTGCAATCTGGTAACCTTTTAAGAGGCTTTTATTAAAAAGTGGCCAGTTTTCACAGATGATGCACCAGTGTCCTGCCTTAAAGCACTGACAATTCCTGTAGAGGATGCACCAGTATTTAAGGATCGCATGGACAATTGTTTAGAGACTCTTTCTGCATTGCATCCTGCCATGGCCATGATGTTAGTCTGTCAAACATTAGGGGGAACAGACAAAACTCATCGTAATGGATCCAGCTTTACTCTACACTAATCCTCTATTTGTGGAGTGATTAGAGTTCATGCCTTGCACTACTGCGTAGATTGGTTAGTGGATGTCTCCCATCTTTTTTCCCGTATGAGTCTCCTATCAGTTAATGGAGGACTCTTTGGTTGAAATATTTGGCTGTGGACAAGAAGCATTTACTTTGCATGCCTTTCGAGGTACAACGTTTCTTTAGAGTTGCCTAGGACACCCTCATCAAGAACGTCACTGGGGGTAAAACCACTCTTCTAACCCAGCTTCAGAAGTCTCCATCCACCCCCCCTTCCCGCAACCAAGAAGAGTTCCTTTAGTTACTCTCAGGCTTCAGCTTCTAAGGCAAAACCCAAGCCAGGAGACCAGTTTCACTGCAATCTCTAGGCCCCCAAATCCCCCAACACCTGCTGACAGGTCCTTAGCATGAAAGGGACATCCCCACTTTCAAAAGTGGAGGTAATCTGTTAGCCTTTTAGGACATCTGGACGCACAGCATGTTGAATGCCTGGGGAAACCTGGCAATACACCTATAGCTTATCTGCAGATTGTCTATGGTCAGATGGAAAAAGTGCAACAGATTCCTCCATCTACGCTAAACTGTGTGGATGGAGGAGTCTCCCACTGGGCCAAACTTCAGTATTTTGCTAGTCGGCACAGCTGGCTCTCAAAATACCTGAACAATCCCTGCATCCAATCAGATGCTGCCCTGGCCAGAACTTCACATTCCAGCTTTGTCTGTTTTTCATATTCCAGGTATGGACAATTGGTAAGCAGACTACCTTTATATGCTTTTATTAAGTTCTGCAACACTTCCAGGTGTCAAGACCATTCCCTCTGTGTGATAGGTGGGTTATGCCGGATGTGGACCTTCTGGTTTCTGAGATCAACAACAAACTAAGTAGATTTTTCTCAAAGTTCAGAGGTCCTCTGTTGGAAGTAGTGGATACTTTGGTGGCTTAGTGGAGTTGGTACAACTTATCTAAGCCTTTCCCCTAAAACTCCTTCCTCCTCTGCTACACAGAATCGAGATGGAGGGCATTCTGATGATACTCCCATATCCAAATTGGCCCAGTTTAACCCCTTCGTGACGGGAGATGTACACTGTACGTCCCGTCACGAAGTGCCTACATGACTGGCCACGTACACTGTACGTGGCGAGTTATATCAGGCTTTGTAATGCCGGTAACCACTTATTCTCAACAGTTACCAGTCATTAATGAATGTCTCAGTATTGAGGCATTCATTAATGAAATAGTTAAGCTTTTGTAAAAGCTTTTTTCTTTCACTAATGAAAGAATGAAGCCGTTACATGCAAATACGGGACCGCTAAATAGCGATCCCGTATTTGACAGCTGAAAATAGCAGAGAGGTAGCAGAGTGAGTCACCTCTCTGCTATTCGTTTTGACAGCTTGATAGCCCGATGTTTATGATACATTTCACCAAAGAGATACAATGTATCTCTTTGAGTGAAATGTATCAGACTTCTGATCGTCTGGGCCGATCAAAGACCTTTTAGTGAAATCTGAATCTGACATGCTGTCAGGATCAGTCTCTAAGGTTATTATTAGCTGTTCCTAAGTTTGGAGCAGCCTAATAATAGCCAAAAATTAAAAAATAAGTTATTTTTTCAAGCAGTCATAGTGACTGCTTGATATAAACTGACAAAAAATAAAGTATTTTTTTACTACAAAGTGTAAAAGATAAAGTGTACTTATTACTGCTGTGGAAGAATCACACAGCAAAAATGTAAAAAGTGTGTCAGTCATTTATGAACAGAAACTGAAAATAATCTCAGTCATGAAGCGGTTAATGTTGCGCTTTGACCTGATTAGACTCCTGGCAAACATTCTGCGGGCTTTTCCAGATTGATCAGTTCTTCTGTCCCAGGGACTGGTTTACCATCCTTTTTCATGGTCATTGACTTTAAAGGCATGGTTGTTAAAGCCCAGGTCTTGAGGGACAGGGGCCTCCGTGATTTTGTGATGTTCACTGTATTTAAAAAACCTGGAAGTCCACATCCCGCATGATCTACCATTGCACATGAAGGGCATATTTCACTTGGTGCGAGGAAAGAAATTTTCATCCCAGAAAATGCTCAGTGAGATGAATCCTGACTTTTTTACAACTAGGCTTGGATTAACAGTTGGCCCTGAGTACTATCAACCATGTGATCTTGGTGCTTACGATTTTATTCCGAAGACCACTAACCTTCCATTAATTAAAACATTTGTATGGGGTGTCTCGCATGTAGCTCCCACTGTGCACCCACCCGTGGCTCCATGGGAGTTTAATTTATTTCTCTTGGCTCTTCAAAAACCGCACTTTAAACCCATGAGGGGTATTTGCCTTTTACACTCTTACTCTCATCCCATAAATTGACATCGTATCTTTCCTCCAGAGTGTTTCTAAGTTGGCAGCCTTGATTTTGTAAAAAGCCTTTCTATTTATAAGGTAAGGTAATACTGAAGCCTAAGGCCTCCCTTCTCCATAAGTCGATCTCTGCCTTCCACCTAAATGAAAACAATGTTTCACCATCCTTATGTCCTGCATCAAAATCTCTTCCCTCTATGTCAGTTCTGAAGGTTGCTATATGATTCCATCTATGTATCGTTGCTGGGCATCTATACCACCTAGTTATAATTTTGAAGTTTCACTCTTAAACTTGACTTGAGTCAATCTTTTTAAAGGTTAAATCAAAAGCTCTATCCCATTCCTCAAGTGAGATCATATGTCCCAAATCCGGTTCCCATAATTTGGTATAGTAGGGGTATTTAGGGTATGCATGACATTGCAGTATTTTATATAAGAAAGATATTTTCAAGTTACTTTCTCTCTTTTGTACCCGTATCTCTTCCAGCGGTGTCAATTCCCGAGTCACGTTACCGCTTTCATTCAGCGATAGAAAAAAATGTTTCAGCTGGAGATATTGTAACCACCTCCCTCCAGTATGGGACCCTATATCTCCAATTAGCGGTATAGTTCTTTCTCTATTAGCATAATTAGAGATAATTTTGATTTCATGTCATTTCAAGAACCAACTTTGATTCATGCCTGATGGGAACTCTGGATTAGTTAAGATAGGTGTTAATGGCCCCACATCAGATGATACCTCATATCTCTCTACCACACTATCCCATATCTTTAAAGGAAAACTATGAGGTGAGTGCTTTTCACTCACCTCATAGTTCTAGCCGACCTGTGACAATGAGACTGTCACAGGTCGGCTCAGTAGATCGGGAGGTGAGCGAACACATACCGGCGTTTGCTCACCTCTCGGTCCTGTCACGGCTCTATGCCATGACAGGGGAGGGGCTGGATTCCCCCCTCCCCGCTCCGATCCGCCAGTGCTGACTGTCGGAACGGAGGGGGGGGGGGGCGGGGACAGCTGGCTCTGCCTCTAGATAGGCAGAGCCAGCTGTCGGTCACGGAGGTGGGCGAATCCCGGCACAATTGTCGGGATCTGCTTCAGCTGCGGCGTCTCGGTATACCTCGAGCTACCGCTCGCGGTATACTGAGCCTAGGGTGACGGTAGGACGCTAGTTTGTGTCCTCCCGTTACCCTAAGGAGAACTATGGGGAAAAGCCTTAACCCCATAGTTCTCCTTTAATAGATCCCAAACCAGGGGTAACATAATCTCTGGGGCAGGTCGTTTATTTGGATTAAACCATTGGATAGGAGTGAAAGCGGAGTTGCAGCTTGTTCAATTGACACCCATATCTTCTTTTCAGTATGATATCTCCAGTCCATAAGACATCTTAAAACTGCCGCCATATGATATATTTCTAGCTGTGGGAGCCCTGATCCTCCTTTATGTCTACTCATTACCATAATTTTGTACTGCAATCGCGGGGGTAGTCGAGGCCATA